TGGTGGTCAAGCAGGCAGCAACCCAGAGCAGCACCCAAAAGGCAGTCAAGCCTCGCCAGCGTAGATCTTCCTTCCCCAACTGTACCTTCCAGCCCATGGACCTCTTTTAGCGGAGCCCGCACTCTGCCAAAACATTCGGCCCAACAAGGGAGGGGCAGCTGGCCAAGGGGCAATGCAGGTAGAATAGCCTCATGCTTCCTGGTCATCCCCCCTGGCAGGCAGGACCCAGAAGCTGCCGGAGAATCCAGGCAGGGGATGAGATGTGGCCTGGCGGGGAGGGGCGTGCGTATTTCATGGAAGATTAGGATTGCTCAACTTTAAGAACAGTGGGCTAATGGGACTAGGCAATAGGGTGCTCGCAGGCGTGGGTAAGCGCTAGGAGAAAGGGTGAGCATGGCAACCTTTTCCCACCTTTTGATACTCCTCATTGCCCAAAGAGGCTGTAACTAAACAGCTCGCTGGTGGGGGTCATATAGGGAAAGTTTGTGTGGAAAAAAGATTGGGAAACCAAGAAAACGGTTAGCGGGAGTGAAGCGGTGGGGCAGTGGGGCGGGGGCAAGTGCGCGTGGCAGGTGAGGGGCTTTGTGTGGGAGTGTGGACTTTGCTTCACTTTCTGGCTTCGCTTCTCGTATCTTCCCCGCTGCTCTTGTTTCTTGTCAGGCCGTATTAACCTCCTTTTTTTGTGGTGCCTAATGGTGGGATAGGTAGAAGTTGAGCAAATGAAGCTCCCCCCCAACAACTGCCAAAACACTTGTTCAGTGAGGGAGGGGTGACTGCCCTGGGCGATGCAGGCAGAGTAGCCTCGTGCTTCCTGGTCCCCATGCCTCCCAGCAGGCGAGCCCCAGGAGCTGCTGGAGAATCCAGGCAGGGGATGAGATGTGGGCTGGCAGGGAGCCGAGTGGTGACAGCCCTAACCTGGCTGGCTTCTTTCCCTCTGCCACCAGCTGCAGGAGCAAGGTAATGTTTCAGGCAGTGATGAAAGCCAAACCGCTCCCTAGCCCAGAGCTGCTGGCAGGGGAGGGGGGGGGGGCAGGACGCTGCAGCACTTGCCTCGCTTGACCTTCTCAGCCCTTTCCTTTCCCCAAAAGCAGGAGGGGAGGAAGACTTTGGAAGTCTCAAAGGGGTGGCCCCTTTGTTGGACCCAAAAGCCTTGCCTGTCGGCTTTTCCAGGCAACGTGGGACAGGAGACTGGCCAGGAAGAACCCTCATAAGGAGCGACGCTGCTGGGTGCTTGAAAGCTTGTGTGTGTGTGTGTGTGTTTGCTTCAGGTGGGTCTCCTCTCCTATCTTTAGAAGGAGAGAGGGAAGGAGAGAGAGAGAGAGATGGGAAGAGAGGGAGGGGAAGAGAAAGGAGGGAAAGAGAAAGAGGTCCCACAGGCAATAGCTGCTCATTGTCCTTCCCTTGCAGTATTTATCATATTTATATATCTCACATAAAGATGACTCTTAGTTCACTTTTAGTATTTTAGTATTGAGTATGGAGCTCTTCCTTATCCGTTGTTTCCCCCAGCTGTATTTTATTCCTCTCTTCACCAGTGACTTGTTAGCACAGTTATTTTTGACATGGATTTGGTGCTTTATGTCTAAAAAATAGCAAGCTGATAATTAAGAGATGGAAAAATAGATCACCCCTTAACTGAGCAGATGACTAAATTAGCCATTCTAAGCACCAATCCACACTATCCCATCTTGCCTTATATTAAAGAGAGCAATTAGTAATGTTTTTCCCATCTGCAAGGGATCATTGGTGGGAAGGAAAATAAAGCCAGTTGATTCTTTTTAAACTTACCTACACTGCGGACACTATCATTCTCTGTTCCCATTACTTAAGATAGTGATAACTACTGTTTTCCTGAAAATAAGACCTGGTCTTATTTTCTTTTAGGCCCCAAAATAAGCAACAGGTCCTATTTTCGGGGGATCTTTCCCGCTTACCTTAGGACCGCCTCCCATGCCCTGACACCTGTCACACCATTGCCTGATTTCTTCTATATGGCATGTTGTGCCATTGCATAAATGGTGGTACTTGGCCTCCTGCGAGCACCACCACCAGTGTGACATGATGTGTTGCCTCTTGCTGCGAGCAGCAGCACTGGTGTGATGCCACACATGGCGTCCAGCCATGAGTGGCCAAAGTCAGGTAGCACTGCAACAGGTGTCAGAGTGTGGAAGGCCTGGCTGTGGTAGTCCTAAGGTATGCAGGTGCGGGGTGTGTGGGACAGCTTCACCACCACCCCATCTTGATTTTTACACATGCGCCTCACCTTACCTTATACAACCAGAAGGTGGGATGTAGTTGGCGGAGTCTTAACTAGAACTTATTTTTTGGGTAGGGCTTATATTAGATGTGCACATAAAAATCAAGCTAGGGCTTATTTTCAGGATAGGTTGTATTTTGGAGGTAACAGAATTACTATATAGCAACAAAAACTCTTTTACAAAGTAGTTGTCTGAATTTGTACAGCCTAAAGCTGATGGCTCTAAGTAAACCCAATCAAACAACTGTGAATTCAGATGTAAGCTTATAGTGCTTGGAAAGCATGGCTTCTCCTGACTTGGGATGTCATGTTTCTGTAATAAGTATCTCCAGCACTGTCTATGGAAATTCTCAAGTCATCGTTATCCCAAGGTGCTTTTTCAAAAAGCAATTGGATTTTCTTTGTTTTTCCTTGAAGATATTTCAGTTCTCATCCAAGAATTAATTAGATGCTTTTAATTAGGTGCTTCCCTTTCATGGGCTACTGCCTTATTGTGGCAAAGGAGCTTGCATAACTCAATGAAGCTATGGCTATGCCGTGCAGGGCCATCCAAGATGGACAGGTCATAGCAGAGTTCTGACAAAATGTGATCCACTGGAGAAGGAAATGGCAAGCCACTCCAGTATCTTTGCCATTAAAACCCCATGGACAGTACCAAAAGGCAAAAAGATATGACGCTGGAATATGAGCCCCTCAGTGTCCAATATGTTACTGGAGAAGAGCAGGGGGCTAGTACTAGTAGCATCAGAAAGCCAAAAGGACGCTCAGGTGTGGATGCATCTGGTGGTGAAAGGAAAGTCCAATGCTGTAAAGATCTATTCTTCATAGGAACCTGGAATGTAAGATCCATGAATCCAGGCAAGCTGGACGTGGTCAAACAAGAGATGACAAGACTGAACATCGACATCTTAGGAATCAGTGAACTAAAATGGATAGGAATGGGTGAATTTAATTCAGATGACCATCAGGTATACAAGGCGATCAAACTGGTCAGTCCTAGAGATCAACCCTGACTGCTCTTTAGAAGGCCAGATCCTGAAGATGAAACTCAAATACTTTGACCACTGGAGAAAAGCCTAATGCTGGAAAGACTGAAGGTAATAGAAGAATGGGATGACAGAGAATGAGATGGCTGGATGGAGTCACTGAAGCAGTAGGCGTGAGCTTAAATGGACTCCAGAAGATGGTAGAGGACAGGAAGACCTGCAGGAATGTTATCCATGGGGTCATGATGGGTTGGACACAACTTCGCAATTAACAACCAACTAGATGCTTCTGTCCGGTAGGATGGATTATTTTCCTTCTTTGGCCAATTAGGGCCCTGCCTGCTTTGTTTGAATAAGAAAAAAGATTAAAAAGGCTTTCCTCATTGGTCACTTTGTTGTTGTCTATTGGTTGCACAGCCACATCAGTTGCATCTACCAGAATTAAATTACTCTAAATGAATGTCATTCTTCTAAAAACTAATAGGTATAATGCTTGGAAAACAAGACATCTTTCTGAGAGTTACCGTGTACTTACTGTGTTTTTTCCTGCTATAATCCCTTCTTATACAAAGCTCTGAAAGAATGTTTTAGCTAAGCCAGGAAAAAATTGTTTCCTAATCCACTTAATAATTTAATTGACAAATTAAATCAAATGTATGGTGGGACTACCAGAACTAAACTGCCAAAATCTAGAAAGCTACTAAATGGCATCAAAATGATTACAACTTTCTGGACGATTTTGTTTTCCTCTAGTGGTCATCTGGATATTTACAGCCCAGATCTTTACCTCTATTATGAAGTGACAAAAGAATTAACTGAAATTTCTACTGGGTAATGTTTTCCCCAATGAATAAAAGATTTTATTTAGCGTATGACATACAATGACAGGGAAATTTATAAATGCTAGACATAGTGCAGCCCTGACAGTGTAGGTTAGTTCATTCTGTTCAGCACTTGTATGTCAATCACTGATGCACTGGGGTGGGAGCAAACTATGGTAGCTTTACATCAGCTAACTAGCAGTGCTCAGGTTGCTGGCTCTTCTGGGCTCCTTCACTGGTCTCATCTTGCCTCACTTTATGTCATATTGCCTCACATTCAGCCAGATCCAATGCTGGCTTCCACACTCTACCCCCCCCCCCCCCCCAAAAAAAACCACAAATACAGCTAGATTTTTCCCGCTGAAGTGGTACCCATTTATCTACTTGCAATATTGCTTGCTTTCAAACTGCTGGGTGGGAAGGAGCCAGGGAATGAATGATGGGAGTGGATTTGAACCATTGGAGTGCAGACCATTTCTGGACAATAATTCCAGAGTCATTACATCATTGCGTCCCCATAAAGGGAGATGATGACAGATGGAAACAATCCCCAGAGTTCCATAATCTTGTAACTTCAAATTTTTTTTTGGCATAAGACTAGCACCAGGGCAAACTAAATCACCAAGTTTTGTATCTTTCCCAAAATGCCTGGTTACAATTTGTTTTTTGCTATCTAGTCAGCATCCTTACTTCACAAAATGCTGTTAATAGAATTAGTAAAAAGGTTGAATAAAACTTGGCAAGCAGGCTCTCTTCAAAGTTGAGTTGAATCTCCCATTACTATTGTGTGCTTCCTGCACACCTTAGTTGATTAGCAAAACATTTATTTTTATTTTTTTGGTTTATCTGTAGTATGCACTTATGCCAATGTCATTATTTTTTTCTTTTATTTTAACCCAATTGCATTCAAGGTTTCAATTTTTTCCATTCCTAGAGGTGTGTGTGTGTGTGTGTGTGTGTGTATAATTAGATCAATTTCTTTTGAACAATTTAAATTCCTCTAGGCTGTATGTTCTAGTCATAGGTTTCATTGTCAAGTTTTAGTAATGGCTACAATGTCATAACTGCCCTTGTATAGTACTTCAAGTCCACCATTTCTCATACGTTATGCGTGAGTGTATAGACATCCAAGTCCCTTTTGACTGATCCTGTATTTGCTTCCTACATCTGTTTTGTATCTGAATTCCTATTCTTTTAGACTTGGTTGATTTCCCTGAGATTTATGCTTGGAATTAGCTTCTAAAAGTTCATCTCCCTCTCCTTTCCGTTTTAGTTTAAAGCCTTTTGGATACAATGAACCAGTTGGTTTCCAAAGTGTTCTTCCTGGTTATTGTGAGGTGCAGTTCACTCCCTGCCAAATATTGTAGATTGGGAATCCAAAGTTTTATTGATGGCACAATCTACTGCATTCCCTCATTGGATGCCTCCCTCTTGTTGAGAATACAGAAGAAAATACCACTACCAGAAAGCCATCTTTTTAGCTTTCATGCCTAATTGTTCATAGTCTCTTCATATTGTTTTTAGGCTCTTTGTTGTATCAATCATCCACACACGAATGGGGAGAAAGGGATAACAAACTGTGGACTTTACATTTTCAACTATTGCGGTTTCATTTTTAGCTGTATACTTTAACATATTTTGTTCTGGAAAATAATTACAACTCAAAATTTATTGTAAGCTATTTTGGGAAAACATGATGTCACATAACAATAAATATGGATTTGAGAATGCAACAAGGGAAAAATTAAAATGAAATTCAGTGGAGCAGATATATCAGCAAAATTGCACATTTAAGTTTTTTAAGATAAGATTGAGAATATTCTTGTGTTATATTAATTAACTTCTCTCTGCCCCCCATTAGTCAAATTGAATTCTGAGAAGTTTCTTAATTTAAATTAATTTAATTTTAAAACATTTTTCTCTAATAAATGTATGTCCTTCTCTACTAGATATTTGTTGTTTTTCTCTAGGGAAAGCACTGGGGCTCAGTGCTTAAGACTCTGGGCTTGTCAGCTGGATAGTTGGTAGCCCGGGTTCGAGACCCAAGCTCCATGTGACAGGATGAGCTCCTGTCCTCACCTCACTGTATGCTTTTGAACTACCAACCTAGCAATTTGAAAGCATACAAGTGCAAGTGGATAAATAGGTACCATTTCAGTGGGAAGCTAACTCCAGAGGTGGTATTCAGCAGATTCTGACCAGTTCTGGAGAACCGATAGTGGAAATTTTGAGTAGTTCGGAGAATTGGAAAATACCACCTCTAACTGCAGATTTTACAGTATTCTTCCCCTGCCACGCCCACCAAGCCACGCCCACAGAATGGTAGTAAAAAAAAAATTGAATCCCACCACTGGCTAACTCCATGACGTCATGCTGTGGAATGTCTTCAGACAGAACTGACTCAATGGCCTTGAAATGGAGATGAGCACCTATAACTGGCAATTACTAGCAAGGTGATACTATATCCACAGGAACTCCTTTATGTATTTTTGGGCATTTTTTGATGATGGGTGTAAGGTGTTGTTTTGTAAGGACTTGAATTATAATTAATACACTGCAGATAAATCACTCTGACATATCTTCATCAATAATATATATTTAAAATAATACATCTGTATATTTGAGCATCCTTTTCATGTTACTTTTATATATGAAAGAAACTTATTTTTGGAAAAAGTAAATATTCTATTAAATTTCTACAGAAAAATAGACTGAGAATGTCCATCATTAATATATTATGGAATTTTAGTTCCAAATCCATTTGATATTGCAAAATCCACGGCAAACAACACCCCAGATTTTAGCATTAAATTCTTATTGCTTCTCAACTCAAAATAAAATATGCTGTTAACACATAATAACATTCAACCAAAAAATGGACAATCCACAATATATTTCATTTTGCTTCTAAGTTATCAGCATTTTTTAACCATATCAGACAACTCACAGGTCTGTTTGGGATTATACAAGCACTGAGAGAATTGTAAATCATTATCAGACTATCTGCATTACATTGCTAAATCGATTAACTAGACCTACACAGTATTCTGTAATAATATCAAGCAGTAAGTAAGCCATATTGTTCATATCCTAGTTTTAAACTGGCTGAACTTAAAGTTCAAGCTAATTCGTACAGAGTGCAAAAGAAAAGAATAATTTCTAGAATGATGGTGTTTCTGCCAGATAAAAGTTCTAGTGGATGGCATAATAACAATGTAACTCTATGTTACATCGAACTACATAGTTTAGCACCTTTTCTGCCAATTGAGGAGTCAAAAATCTACCTTTGATCTCCATCATAAATACTAATTATTATTTTTTTAAAAAGACTACTCTTAGCAGATATTGGGAAATCTAAGTGTTATGTCTGGGAGTCAGAAATTCATAATACTCAAAATTAATTGGAAAAGGCTGGAGTAAAGTATTGCTTAACTAAGTGCATTTTCTGCTCCTTGTTTCAAAGTTTCCTTTAAGCCTGTTTTCAGCATCTTCAAGAGGAAATATTCAAACCTTGTAAAGTCTATGTCTGAGCAGCAATAATTTCATTTATATTAATTATCCTTCGCAAACATGCTACTCATATGACTATCAGGTTAATACACACACACTCACTCACGATCGCCAATATTCAATGATGGATATGGCACAAGAAAAAGAAATATAAATATATTATATATTAACAACTACTAATGAAGAATAAGGCTGCACGAGAATTTAATTTGGTAAGAGTATTGCCAAGATGCATATGATGGTGTGGAGAACAGCTCTTTAAATGAAAAGTATGAATACAAGCAAAAATAAGCATTTTCATTAATGAGGGTCATATGAAGCATGTAGGAGGACCAAATTGATAAAAACTTTCATGTACTATATGAAATAATAAAACTATAATTGCTTAAAATCTGAAAATTTAAGGTACTCCTTCAGATTCTGAGATCCTAAACTGTAACTTACTTACCTGGGAAGTTAATTTATCAGTATTAATGTTTATGCAAAATTGATTTTCTAGCTGTCTGTCTGATGCTGACTCAATATAACCAACAATAACTAGTATTATACATACGTTAAATCTTCTAAATTGAAAAATAAATTTCCTATTCTTATCTCTGTGTATTTAGAATCATTTTTGGTATCAAATGAAGCAGAATATAACTATATTGTCTGTTTAATAAACAAAATGGCTTTTGAATAACTGGCACACAGTTTAGTATCATTATTGCCCTCATAAAAGCTGTGCTTTTTTCTGCATGCATATATATTTAAGTATGGTTTATGAATTATTGCATAAAATGTGGAGGATTTATAACCTTCTGTGATTTTAGTGTTTCATATCTATGTGCGTGTGTGTCTGTGCAAAGACACACACACACAGTTACACATATGCATGTGCACACATGCACTCATACAAAAATAATAGTGTTTCTTGCAAGATATTTCATACAAGAAGAACTATGGAAAATCACTTCCATCATAAATCACTGGCCGTTGAACAGATAGGTGGAAAAATACTTTTTTTGAGATAAACCTGTAAGAAAAACAACATAGGAAAATTAGTCGAAATTGTAAAATTAAGATCATCAAGGAGAAACAATGGAATTACAGGTAGTCTTGACTTACAATCATTAAATGTATTTTCTAAACTACAATGACACTGAAAAAAAGTGATTTATGACTGTTTTTCACACATGTTGCAGCATCCCCATGATCAAAATTCAAATGCTTGGCAACTGGCATATATTTATGATGGTTGAAGTGTGCGGGGTCATGTGATCAACTTTTGAGACATGACAAGCAAAGTCAACAGGGAAGCCAGATGTACTGAACAACCATGTTACTAACTTAACAACTGCAATGATTTACTTAACAATTGTGGCAAATGAGATTGTACAATAGAGTAAAATTCACTTAACAACTATCTTACTTAAAAAGAACTAAACAACTAAAATTAAATAAAGTTCAAATCTCTTTCTCTGAATTGGATCAATATGATCCAATCCATACATGGTTATTTTTTTCTTTATGGCAAAATTGCTTCATTCAATAGAATATCATAATATATAAAAGAGTAATGAAGAGCCAAATAAAATGACATTTTAGGACTTAGAGATGAACAATTAAAGCATCAACAATAAAAAAAATAATTTTGACTAAGAAGATAAAAATATTTCAATATTTTTTAAAAAAGATAATTGTGTATTAATTCTTTCTATGAGGTTTTAGAGGAACACAATTTCTATATTCACTCCACTCAGAATGAAATATCATATTTTTCAGAGTATAAGATGCTCTGAAGTATAAGACGCACCTAACTTTGGGGAAGGAAAGCAAGAAAAAAAAAATCTGCCACTGCCTCTGCGCAATTTTCCTCCTTGCAGCAAACAAGGAGGTCAGCTTCAGTACAGCCTGATTAGTACAAGCAGCTGATTGTTGGATCAGCCTCCCAATGATCAGCTGTTTCAAGCTGCAGGAATTGCCATCGCCTATTGCACGTCCCATTTTCGGGCTCCACATCCCATTTTTGGCCTCCTTGTGCTCTGTTTTTGGCCTCTGCATGCCCCATTTTCCGCCCATTCTGATCTCTGCCGCTCGGAATGGGCCAAAAATGGGGCACGTGGAGGCTGAAAATGGGACGTGAAAAGGCTGAAAATGGGATACAGAGGCTGAAAATGGGGGGCATGGAGGTGGCAATAGGTGATGGCAATCCCTGCAGCCTGAAACAGCTGATTGTCGGGAGGCCGATCCAATCAGCTGCTTGTGCTAATTAGGTTGTTCTGAAGATGACCAGGCTGTTTGCTGCAAGGAGGAAAATTGGGCAGAGGCAGAGGCCAAAGGGTGGAGGTCGGCAGGGCTTCGGCAACATTGACTGTATAAGATGCACATACATTTACTCACTTTTGGGGTGGGGGAAAGTGCGTCTTATACACCAAAAAATACGGTAAGTGATAATTTCTAAAATCTCCATAACATCACAACTATATAAAAAAATTCTCTGCTCTGTAGCACACCAACCTAGAAAAAGTGTTGTCAAAAATAAGTATGTAAATTCCAGCATTTCGTATTTTTACATTCCCTCTGATAGTTTCCTTATGAGAATTGCAGCGAGTCATGGGAATAAGAACCTGCAAAATATATATCAGTATATTAGTCAGAAGGAACTTTGCCATTATTAACTTGGGGAATGAGTGAATGAATATGTTTTTAACCAGCCTGCCCATACAAATGCTTTCTTTATGTGTTGACCAAAGCTTCCATCACTATCAATTCATAATCAGCCATCAATTGATTATGTATTTATTTATTAGATTTATATATCACCCATTTCACTATCAAGCGACTTTGGGCAGCCTACAATATTCAGCGTACAATATAGTTAAAATTATATATAAAAAAGGGGTGTCAAATTCGCATTGTCATGGCAGTGTCACATGACGTATCAGGATTCCCCCCCTTTGCTAAACTGGGTGAGGGCGTGGCCAGTGCGTGATGCATCTGACTCACGGGGCATGAGTTTGACAGCCCTGATATAAAACATTAAAATGTTAAATATTAAAGTTAACAAAATTAGCTAAGATAGGAACCAATATACAATAGGTAGAGATGAAATCTTTTTTTTAACCCACCAACTACATTATGGAATGCCCCAGGCTAATTGGCAGAATCAAGTTTTCAGGCTCTGAAATATTAATTGGGCCAAAATGTTAATTGAAAGATACAGTAATGAGAAGGAAATAAAGACCAGAAGATTTTTCAGCAGCAACAATCTTGTGTTTGATACTAATAGGATAATGGATCAATCAGAGCTTCTTATGACAGGGATGGACAACTTAGGACTCAAATGCCCCCACATTTTTAACCCCAGATCCTCTTCACGCATGGCAAATGCAAACAAAAATTAGCTATATTGTTTCCTGCTATCTACAGATTACCCACTAAAACTATAGCATGTTGTTTAATTATATTTTTGGGGCAGAGATTTAGAATGGTATAGCTCTGGTAACAAATAACAGGTTTTTAAAATTCAACTGATTTGTTCATAATTATATTATGTGCAATGTTTCCATGAAGAAGAACAATTCTGTATGAGGGCTAACTTACTTTACATTGATCCAGAGAGGTTTCTTCTGATTGCTTGAACACGACACTGAATGATACGCTCTTTGGGTCTGATGAAAACACCCAACTTATTGTAAGGCCAGTTTCATCTACAGTGATTGGAATAATGCTGTAAGTATTTGACTTAATAAATAGTTCTCTGGTACCTTCTCCAAACTTTAAAATTTCCTCCACTGTGAGAGGCAGCTTTAGCCTGAAGACAACAGATAAGAACAAAAATAATACTTGACCAACAAATGACACAAAATGTAGAAACTCACTTCTTACTTGCAAGAACACTTGTTATAAATCAGTGTTGTAAAAAGAAACAATTGTTTAAGATTATTGTGCTTCTAGCCAATGGCAGTTTCTTCCAAATAACAAGAGGAAATAAGCTGGCTTACATCAATTCTCCTGACTTCAGCAAACAAATCTCTGCATCTTGGGTAATTTCCAAATCCTCAGATTCATCAACAATTGAGGAGCTATAGGTGCTGTTTCTGAGGACACAGAAAACCATATCATAGTCAGATATTAGTCTCAAAATGTACACAGAAATCTTCTGAAAATCCAGAATACATGATGATAAAATTAAATTAAAATTATCAAAATTAGCTAAGATAGGAACTAGAACATATGGGAGGGAGATAGAGTGGTTATGGAGTGGAAGAGGCGGTTCTCTTGTTATTGTGTATGAAACGGATTATCTGGACTTCTTTCAGTCAGGATTCAGGCTCAGATATGGAATAGAAAGAGCACTGATTATGCTATATGATGTCTTGGTGGGAGCAAGACAGGGATAGTTACAACAATTTTTTGCACAACTTGACCTCTCAGCAGCTTGTGATACCATTGATCATGGTATCCTTCTGGAATGGCTCTAGAGGCTGGATGTGGAGGGCACAGTGTTCTCCTGATTTACTTTCTTTCTTCAAACGTTCTCAGTTGGTGTTGATCAGAGGCAAAAGTCTAATCTCCAGTCTCTATTTGCAGTCTCAAGACTCAGATTCTGTAAATAGTTCTATAAACAGCCTGCAAATTCCTTCTTTATTAGTGAAAAGATTCAGAGTTTGCCAGTTACACAAAGACAATAAATAAAACAATTAGAAAGATTGTAACTTATCCTGAGGGCATTGTGTATGCTCGGAAATGTTTCAGTTGCCGCAATCCTGATATTCTCCAGTATGCCGATTGGAGAATCCACACTTGGGTTGACACATGCATTTGTGCCCAGAGACTGAGTCCTCAATCTTTTGCTATGCCTCTCTGTCAACTGCAGAGACCCCAGTTTTGACTCAGTCTTGGCCCTATAGAGATGTGGAAAAGATTGGCTTAGCTCTGAGAAGATATTGACTTTGACTAAAAGGACTTTTGAATAGAACTCACCAGACAGGTTCGATCAGGGCGATCTGTGAGTGAAGAGGTGGATGGTCGTTGCGCCATTTCGTTCCAGTCTTGCCGTGATTACTGACTTTTGCTGCTTGACTTCCCCCAACTTTGGCAGCTGTGTTGCTTGGGGGGGGAGTGATTCCACCTTAGCTGGCTGGCTCACCTGGGTAACTCCAGTGAGGCCACCAAGTGCCAAGTGCCTTTTCAAGTGTGGGAGTGTGCTGGCTCACCCAGTCTCTCTGGCGCCATTGTCACCCCAACCAATCTCCAGCCGGAAAGGAAAGTGGAATAATTAAAACTGCTCACACAGGCGCTGGTTCACCCAGGTCCCCTGGAGCAGCTGCCAACTATCAAGCCCCAAGGAACGCTGTAGAGCCATTGTCCAGTTGGCTCTAGGTAGATTCAGAGCAGCAGCCAATAATCTGAGTTAAAGGTCATTCACTCTAGTGCTGCCTATCACAGGAACCGGGGCTGTCATGGCAGATCAAAAAACAACAGCAGACAGCATGGAACACACCCTTTCCTCTGTTCCACTCAGAAGCCTGGAAAAAGTTCCAGGAAACTGATCAGCTAGTAAAGAAGGCAGCCGAAAAAATTAGAGCAAAAGTCCTGTATCCTATGAAGGCTTCCAAAGCCGAAGAAAAGGACACTAGAAGAAGCCAAAAAGTCTGGAGAAACAAATATCCGAAAAACAGGCAGAGCAGGAAAGGATGCCTAATCCAGCTCAAATAGAGCCTGTCAGTTCCTGCTCTCTGCAGCGACAGTTGTTGCCTCTGTCAAATGCTGCAGTTCCAATGGCTTGGTCACCAGAGGGTGATAGAGAGCATATTCTCCTTCAGCCTTTTTCAACAGGAGAAAATGAGAAAGGTATTTTTTCCTTCTCCTACCTAGCAACAGAGGAGGAGGAAACACAGTCTAGGAATAGAGCCTTGGCCCCAGAGGCCACATTCACTCACACTGCGGCGGGGCTCCGCCCAGGGGACAGGCAGTGCTCTGGGTTATCTGAAGAAATTAAATTCTTCATTTCAGAAGCAAGATCACATGGTATTGCCACAGAATTCAAAAAAAGATGGCAACTGACCTCATTAGCAACTGAACCACTCTGCCAACCTAACCAACAATACCAGCTCACAACAGAGACATTTAGGTTCCAGGGTCCTCCATCTCCAGAACCTTCCATGAGAAACTCAGCATCAGCATTGGAGGATGAGGAGCAAAGAGATCAGGCCATGTCAGAGGATGAGGATCTCATCCCTGATGCTCCACCTTTTACCGGCCTTTTCCATCCAGTTCTTTTCAAATCCTGGTCCACAGTTCAGAAAGGAGTAGAGCGCCGGGCCCCTGAGGAACCTTCAGACTCCCAGGGCCTAAACAACATCGTATTCTCTGAGCCTGCCATAACGCAGAAGGACATCCCATATCCTAAACTATTTTTGAATGTAGTTCAGAGACAATGGGGCCAGCCATGTTCCATTCCTGCCATTCCAGTCATTCCCCACCCCTGGTGGAAATGACAAAAGGTTCTTCAATATAGCTCCCATCCTCACTGAGGCTCTTCAACTTCCTACAGTGGATGAACCACTGGCAGCCCTGACATTTTCCATCGTCATGTCTGGGGACATAGCAGAGACCCTAAAGGCAGAGGACAGGAGGGCAAAACTGAACTTCTACAGGATGCATCAGGCCAATGCCTGGGCTGTCAAAGCAGCAACAGCCACTCCCTTCTTTACAAGAACCTCCTTACACTGGCTTCACCAGTTGCAAGCGAGAATGCCACCTGAGGAAATTTGGCTTCTCCAAGACATCAATAAACTGGTGGCCGCAGCCAAATTTTCAGCTGATGCTACTTTGCATACAGCTCGGTTTCCCTCTAGGGCTCTTGCTTCCACAATAACACCACGCCAACTGCTATGACTTCACCAATGGCAGTCAGACATAAAAACCAAGTATAGGCTAGCCTCCGCCCCCTATAAGGGGAACACTCTATTTGGGGAGGCCCTAGAACCTTTTCTTGTTGAAAACAAGGATAGACGGAAGATCTTGACCTCTGTGGCCAGGCAGGCAGATTTCTGCCCCTCGCCATATGTGCGTCGGCAGTCCTTTCAGCCGACGGATGCCGGCCTCGACAATGCTCAATTCCACCAGCCCTACCCACAGAGACCTGAACACCAACTGGACAGATCAAGGTTTAGGGAAAGGTCCAGACAAGAGTTCCAGGTCAAGTGACCATTTGTGGGTCAGGAGGCTACCACCTTCTGCTGCTCCATGTGACTGCCAGGGTGATCCTCCTATTGGCAGATGCCTAGCCATATTTACAGAACAATGGAAGAACATCACAACTGATTCTTGGGTCCTAAACACAGTGAGGCTAGGCCTCACTCTAGAATTCCTCTCCACATCCCCGAAACACTTCATCTTTTGCCCGGTCTCCAAAAACAACATCATGGACATGGCAATCCAACATTTGTTGGAGATCCACGCCATTGAGCCAGTTCCAGAGGACCAACAGTGGCATGGATACTATTCCATTCTATTCATAGCTCCAAAGACCTCGGGGGGTGGGGGGGTGGAGAGCAATTCTGGACCTCAAGAAATTAAACTTCCACTTAACCTACAAATGGTTCAAGATGTAGTCACTTCAGTCAATTTTGGAGGGCATCAGGGAAGGCGACTTCCTGACGTCCATAGACCTGATGGAGGCTTACCACCCTGTCCCTATCCTTCCATTTCATCAAAAGTATCTCAGATTCTGTTATGCAGGGTGCCACTTCCAGTAGAGAGCCTTACCATTCAGCTTGTCCTTGGCACCCAGGGCATTTACCAAGTTGTTGGCAGCACTGGCTCAGGGCAATCCCGATGCGCGTCCAGTGCTACCTCGATCCGGAGGTAGAGATCCGGAGACAGCAACTCAAGTGTTGGGGTTCAGGTCTCCTTAGAGGTATTCAGGTCCTTTCAATGGTGGATCTCCCTGGCAATCACCAGGGGAAGCTTGTTCAAGGAGCCCAGCCATTTAATCTTGACCTCTTCGTCTGGGATGCCAGCACCAATTGGCATAGGGACAATGGACTTCTGGTAGATCTGAGAAACAATATAAATTGGCTGGTGCTCCGAGCAGTTCATTTGGCCCTCCGCCACTTCTAGGACACTGTGTCAGGACAGTGTAGCCGCCAAGGCTAACATCAACTGCCAAAGGGGCACCTACTCCAGGTCCCTCATGCACAAGGTGGAACAATTGGGACTCTGGGCAAAGACCCACCTGTGCTCCATCAAGGCGGAGTGCATCTCAGGGATGACGAACATGCAGGCGGACTGGCTCAGCAGGACCACAATAGACTGTTCCGAGTGGCACCTGCATCTGGACCTCTTGAGGGAGCTGTCCGAGAAATTCAGCCATTCAGTCCTGGACTTGTTCACTACTCCGGCAAACTCGCAATTCCCAGGTTCTTCACCAGATTTGCGACACCAGAAACAGAGGGGGTCAACATCTTCTGTAGTCCATGGCCCAGAGAACTGCTGTATGCCTTCCCTCCTCTTCCCCTCATTCCGGGGGTGATCAGGAACGTGATATCGGAGAGGGCGGAAATCCTACTTCTGGCTCCCCATTGGTCCATATGGCCATGGAACGCAGATCTGGTCAGCCTATCAGCATCTTGCCCTTGGAGGATTCCTCAGGACAGGATCTCCCTCAGCGAGGAGGCCTTGGTCCACCTGGAGCCTCAGTGGCTCCAACTGACCATCTGGCACTTGAGAGGAGTATCCTGAAGAAGGACAATTTCTCCAGGAAGGTGATACAGATGATCTAGGCCTCCAGGAGACCTTCTAATAATAGAATTTACGATTCAACCTGGAAGGCTTTTTGCAAATGGTGTGCTAGGAAGGACATTGACCCTGCTGCAGTATCTGTCCCACATATCCTGGACTTCCTACAGGAAGGTCTTGATAAGGGGTTATCCTCTAACACCATTCTCAGACAAGTAGCTGCTTTGTCCATGGTGCTAACCTACAGGGACTTGGAATCCCTCACCCACCATCCAGTGGCATGCACATTCATTAGAGGGACAGTTAACTTAAAACCACTTGTGGTACACAGGTCCCCCACCTGGGACTTGTCAAAGGTACTAGAGGCCCTCACTGCGGCACCTTTTGAGCCTGCCTGCCTCAGACAGCTGGTCTGTGCTTCCTGACATTCAATGTTGCCTTCCTAGTGGCCTTCACTTCAGACAGGTGAATATTGGAACTGGCAGCTCTCTCAGTCAGAGAGGACCTTTGTACTTTCCATTCAAACAGGGTGGTTCTGCAGTTGAACCCCTCCTTTGTCCCCAAGGTGAACTCCTGGTTCCATAAGGCTCGGAAGGTAATACTGCCGGACTTCTGCCCATGGTCATCTCATGATCTGGAGAAAAAGTGGCACACCTTGGACGTGAAGAGGGCACTCCGCAGATACCTCAAGAGAACTTCTGCACATCGAAGAACTGAATCCCTCTTTGTGTCATTCTAACCATCTTCGATGGGTACCAAGGTCTCATCATCAACCATAGGCTGATGGATAAGGGCGTGCATCACCAGGACCTACGAGGATTAAGCTCTCCCAGTACTCAGACAAGTAACTGCTTATTCAACAAGAAGCACAACTACTATGGCTGCATGGGCAACGCAGGCCTCTATTGAGGACATCTGCAGGGCAGCAACATGGTCCTCCCCATTACCTTTCGTAAGGCACTAAAAATTGGACACCTTTGCTTTGGCTGAAGCTGCCTTTGGCAGGAGGGTACTCCAACAGGTGCATACAGATACGGATATATCAGGACCAGACCGCTACCCACCCATAGGAGAGGCTGCTTTGGTGTGTCCCAAGTGTGGATCCTCCAATTGGCATACTAGAGAAGGGGCGTCGGTTTTACCTGGAGAATCCACTCCCACCCTGGCGACCATCTGGATGTAGGCTGCCTCAAATCCTTCTGTCTCTTCATCTAATCCTAACCAGACTCAATTATGTTGAGATCAGGGCTCTATGGGAGCCAAACCATTACTTCCAGGACTTCTTGTTCTTTTTTTATGCTGAAGATAGTTCCGAATGACATTGGCTGTAGGTTTGCCCCATTGTGCTTCTGCAGAATAAATTTGGGGTCAATCAAATGCCTCCCTAATAGTATGGCATGATGGATAAGTATCTGCCTATATTTTTCAGCATTGAGGATATCTATCCCGACCAAATCTCCAACTCCATTTGCTGAAATGCAGTCCCAAACTTGCAAGGAACCTCCACCATGATTCACTGTTGCTTGCAGACACTCATTATTGTACTGCTCTACTGCCTCCTGCTACAGCCAAATCTTTCAAAATCTGGCTCATCAGTTGAGAGCACCTGCTACTAATTTTCTGCAACACACTTCCTATATTTTTGTGCATAGTTCAGTAGCTTAGCCTTGTTCCCACACTGGAGCTATGGTTTACTGGCCGCAATTCTTCCATGAAGACCATTTCTGTCCAGACTCTTCTGGACAGAGATGGATATACATGGGTCCCACAGGTTTCTGCCAGTTGTCAGCTGATGGCACTGATGGATATTTTCCAATGTTGAAGGGAAGAAAGCATGACATATCTTTCATCTATTGCACTAAGTTTCCTTGGCCAACCACTGCATCTATGGTCATCAACACTGCCTGTTTCTTTGTGTTTCTTCAAAACAGCTTGAACAGCGCATCTTGAAACCCAAGTCTACTTTGAAATCTTTGCCTGGAAAGACCTTGCTGATGCAGTATAATTACCACTTTTGCCATGGTGTATGACTTGTGACATGAAACTTGTCCACAACCTCACCTTAGTAGCAGTTTGGCTGATTTCCTCCAAAGATGGCTGCTGAATGGTAAAAGCCTTTTTATTCTCTTACCAACAACCATCTAATTTTATGTTTATGTAAAAACTTGGAACCACACTGCTTGCCAAAATATATGTATGTATGTATGTATGTATGTATAAACGTATATATATACATACACACACACACACACACTGCTCAAAAAAATAAAGGGAACACTTAAACAACACAATTTAACTCCAAGTCAATCACACTTCTGTGAAATCAAACTGTCCACTTAGGTAGCAACACTGATTGACAATCAATTTCACATGCTGTTGTGCAAATGGAATAGACAACAGGTGGAAAACATAGGCAGTTAGCAAGACATCCCCAATAAAGGAGTGGTTCTGCAGGTGGTGACCACAGATCACTTCTCAGTTCCTATGCTTTCTGGCTGATGGTTTGGTCACTTTTGAATGCTGGCGGTGCTTTCACTCTAGTGGTAGCATGAGACGGAGTCTACAACCCACACAAGTGGCTCAGGTAGTGCAGCTCATCCCAGATGGCACATCAATGCGAGCTGTGGCAAGAAGGTTTGCTGTGTCTGTCAGTGTAGTGTCCAGAGCATGGAGGCGCTACCAGGAGACAGGCCAGTACATCAGGAGACGTGGAGGAGGTCGTAGGAGGGCAACAACCCAGCATCAGGACCGCTACCTCTGCCTTTGTGCAAGGAGGGACAGGAGGAGCACTGCCAGAGCCCCGCAAAATGACCTCCAGCGGGCCATAAATGTGCATGTGGCTGGTCAAACGGTCAGAAACAGACTCCATGAGGGTGGTATGAGGGCCCAACATCCACAGGTGGGGGTTATGCTTACAGCCCAACACTGTGCAGGACATTTGGCATTTGCCAGAGAACACCAAGATTGGCAAATTTGCCACTGGCGCCCTGTGCTCTTCACAGATGAAAGCAGGTTCACACTGAGCACATGTGACAGATGTGACAGGGTCTGGAGACGCCGTGGAGAAAGTTCTGCTGCCTGCAACATCCTCCAGCATGACCAGTTTGGCAGTGGGTCAGTAATGGTGTGGGGTGGCATTTCTTTAGGGGGCGGCACAGCCCTCCATGTGCTCACCAGAGGTAGCCTGACTGCCATTAGGTACCGAGATGAGATCCTCAGACCCCTTGTGAGACCATATGCTGGTGCGGTTGGCCCTGGGTTCCTCCTAATGAAAGACAATGCTAGACCTCATGTGGCTGGAGTGTGTCAGCAGTTCCTGCAAGACGAAGGCACTGATGCTATGGACTGGCCTGCCCGCTCCCCAGACCTGAATCCTATTGAGCACATCTGGGACATC